GTCCCCTCTGTGGAAAGAGACTCTGAAAGTTTCAGGAACAAAGATTCTCTCTCTTTTTGATCGATTTCTATAAAAACCTGTTCTTGGCCACTTTGTGATGTCATAACGATGTTTTCTCTTGTGTAACCATTAGCCAATCAGCAACCAAGGTAACCCCCACCTTATCACCTGAATCTCCTCCTAGAGCTCCATTGAGTTCTTTGTGACCAAATGTCTCTCAGAGGGGCGTGGGGAGGGGCTCATTATTTTCATCTAAAGTATCAGACAGAGAATCAGCACTTTGGAAACAGGGCTGAAACAGAGAGGATTATGGGTAATGCTGCAATGATCTGTTTGGTGTTTCAGCCAATCAGAGACAGGCTCTGGATAAATATGAGACCTGTGATATATTGATGAAGAGCAGTATCATAGGGGACCTTTAAAGTTGAATACAGTGTAATCCTAATTAAATGTAACCGTTAACAAAGTGGTATCCTGGGAATGGCTGATAAATGTACGTGTGATAACAGATGTGTTCACAAAGGGTTTTATGACACTACAGGAAAGGAAGAAGTTTGCTCTAAGGAGGATAGCTGCAATACCCAGCTAGAGTTTTGCTTATTGTGATCGAACTTTGAAATGTAAATGAGCTTTGTTGTCTTCCTATAAAAGAGTCCGTCACACACAGAGCTCTCAGGAGGTGTCGTCATTCTTGCACGCATTAAAAGAAAAGATCTTAAAATACTTTATATCGATATTGTGTTTCTTTGCATATTTGCCTAACTCATCATTTTCTCTAGAAAGCAGCTGATTTTAAGTTGCTACGACAACCCCCTCACCTGTGTGGACCCTCAGGTGAGTCTTCAGGTTCTTCAGGCAGGCCATAGTCTTCCCACAGAAAGTGCAGAAGAACTGTTTCCCCTGCTGGCCGTTTCCTTCGTCAGTAACTATATGAAAACTGTTCGAATCCGACGTTGCGGAAACGCTGTTGCTGGCGTACGAGCAGCTGGGATCCTCCCCCAAAGGATTGTGGGTAATGAGCGGGGGGTGTTGGAGCTGTGGTTCGATTATCAGGCAGTCAGACCCTCCGCTGACCTCTGAACTCTGGCAGGAAGAGCTGACAACTTCCTTCGCTACTTCCTGTTTGGTGTGAGGGGGCGGGGCTTCCTTCTCTGTGTGTCCGTCAACAGCTGGAGAAAAATCTGGAGAAAATAAGACCAGAATTTAACACTGTCACAAACTTTATCGAGTGTTTTTTATGATTCTAATGATAATAACACTTTAATTTAGCGTGAGAACGGCTTCCAAATGTTACAGTGTACTAAATAAACGTATGTCAAATGCTCTAATCTATAAATCTCTGTCAGTTTAGCCTCAAATTGCAATTTCTTTATGGTAATATGTGACCAGGTATCGTCTTAGATTTTGGATATTATGTCCAATAAAAAGAGAGTTTATTATATTGGACTCACGGTGCGGATCAGTTTGGGAACATAACTCGTCGTCCTCCACTTTGATCGTCAGTTTGATGGATTCTCCTACAGCCAGCTGCAAAAAGAGAGAGAGATTTAAGAGAGGTCTGCTTCATACTTATACTCCACTACACTATATCAGTATTTTGTGTCTCTACTTTAAAGAGTCCTCTCCTGCTGATGTTCAGGTGTATATCAGTATGTAGTGTCTCTACTTTAAAGAGTCCTCTCCTGCTGATGTTCAGGTGTATATCAGTATGTAGTGTCTCTACTTTTAAAGAGTCCTCTCCTGCTGATGTTCAGGTGTATATCAGTATGTAGTGTCTCTACTTTAAAGAGTCCTCTCCTGCTGATGTTCAGGTGTATATCAGTATGTAGTGTCTCTACTTTAAAGAGTCCTCTCCTGCTGATGTTCAGGTGTATATCAGTATGTAGTGTCTCTACTTTAAAGAGTCCTCACCGTCCCCCGTGTAGCATCGTGTTCGGAGGGGTCTCCACATCGCATCGCCTCACCTGCAGGAGGTCAAAGAAATATATTTAAAAACCATGTTGCTTATTGCTCATCAGTTAGGATGATGGATAATGTCAGAGATGCTTCTGATGATACATGAACACCTTTAGACTGTAACAATAGATATCCTTTGGCAGTAAAGTGACTCTCACAAATTCCCTTTTTTTAAAACCACCTATTCTCTGAGGATGAGATTACTTCTCCCATGACAGATAATTAGTGCGAATGCTGTGCAATGTGAAATTCTACCGATAGCTGCTACCGTTTTTCAACTATAGTTAGAAATGTAGGAGGTTTATTTCTCATTCAGATCAATGGAAAGGCTCTCCTTTCACTGCACATCTCCAAGGAAACCTTTGATCTCTGGGCTGACACACAGGTGTTTGATAACGTCGTCACCATGGCAACCTTTGATCTCTGGGCTCACACACTTATTTGTTTTTTTTAGCTAAAAGCAGACAACTAATAAAATATTCAGCTTTTTCAGCTAAATTCATTAACACACAGTTTACAGTAGGGATGTCAAACTCAATGCCCGGGGACAAATCCGGCCCGTGACTTCTTTTTCTGTGGCCCCGCAAGAGCTTGCAAAGAATATGTTTATTATACGGTTACATGATGATTTACAGAAGCACGTTGCCCATAAACTACATGTCCCACAATGCATCTCAAATTAGACTTTTTTCTCAGAATCTTTTTTTTAAATGTTACTTTTTTTCAAAATTTCACTTCTTTTTTTTTTAAATGTCACTTCTTTTCTTTGATTTTGACTTTTTTTTCCAGAATTTGGCTTTTCTTTTTAAATCATTTTGTGACATTCTCACTGACTTGCAATTATTTGCCCTAGACTTCTGCTTTCAGACGTAGTTAATTATGAAGTTATTACCCTATCTGATAATAATCCAATGCAGAGGCAATAATGTAATTTAATACGTTATTTTATATATATATTTATATATGTATTTTTATATAGTCTTAAACTTACAACCGGCCCTTTGAGTGCAACCATAATGCTGATGTGGCCCGCGATTAAATTGAGTTTGACACCCCTGGTTTACAGCATTCACATGCATTTTCTAGTTAAAATGTACTTTTGGGTTATCTGTCGCCACTTTTTTTCTCTAAATTAAAAAATGTTTCTAAAGAAATCAGGCTCTCTAAATACGAACTTAAAAACTTTAAAGAGGGGGTTGATACCGTCGATCATCGCATCTTAAAGCAGAGGCTACTCAGTATTGGCATATCCAGCCATGCAGTGGGTGGTTTGTGAACTTCCTCTCTGAAAGATCCCAATGTGTTCACTTTGATGGGCTGTCTTCTGAGTGGTTAAACATTACTAATGGTGTTCCTCAAGGTTCTGTTTTAGGTCCACTTTTATTCTCCATGTTCATCAATAGTTTAGGTGAAAATGTTGATGGAGCAACCTTAAATTTTTATGCGGACGATAACGTGATGTACTGTGCAGGTCCCTCCATTAAGGAGGCTGTTGTTGAATTGCAAGCTGTTTTTAACATTATTCAGACTCAGCTCTCTGAACTAAAGCTTCTTTTAAATGTCTTGGAATAGTCTGCAATTGAAATGGAAACTGAGCAATCTGGTGCCACTAAATGTTTTTAAAGCTCGGTTGGATGCTACTCAATCG